AACAATTTAAAATTTATAAATACACTAGATTGGGCACCAAGCTTTGTCTGGAAACTACAGGGAGAAGAGGAATAATAAGACGACTTTTGGACTCAGGTTAGGGCATAATAGTTCAATGAACATGGAACATAGCGTGTTTTAAACAGTTTATATTTAAAATAAATTTGTTTTCTAACAAAATTTAAAAAGAGCAGTGAATTTTTTTCTCCAACCGTTGTATGTTCTTTTTATCTGATCATACAACTGTTTTCTGTTCCTCTCTTTTAGATCTACTCATTCTAATCTCTTGTAGACAAGGGAAAAATATATCGCAATTTGGCAGTGTAATTAGACGCAATTCACTTAATAAGTGATTTTATAAGCTGCTGGTAAAACTGAATACGCGTTTACAGTGTGTACCACAAACCGTGAAAATTTCTTGGTAAGTAGAGATCGAATCATCTTCTTGAGATTAGATCGATTAGAAAAATGTTATAATAATAACCTCATTTATTTAGTAATCTCAGGTGTTTGTTTGTTTGTATGGTTGATCATCATACCTCATGAACCCTTGAACCGATTTACCTCAAAATTCTAGATTAAGTGGATCGACTCTTAAAGGGGACACTCCAAGCAAAGATAGTATGTATATATTATTATCTAAATTCCTTAAATATTTATAGTTGCAAAACTACGTGTGTTTTTTTTCTAGTATCGCACGACAATCAATTTATTTAAGATTGCACTGAATCCTATTTACAAATTATTATTACAAATTATTACAAGTTATTACTTGGTCACATTGTATTTATATCAGAGATCACTTGATATTACCAATCACTGGCAGCCGTAGTAGATTTATATTTCCGAGCCGGGTCAAGGCCTTTCCGATCCAAGTTTGTACTGTACCGCACGGACATTGGGTTGATATAGCAGACAATTAACAGGACTAGCCGGTGCAACAAGGTTGACGCGGTCAGACTTTATGATTTATATATGTTAAATTTACTTTTACTTATGGGACAGAGGTGCGTGATATAAAGTTTTACTGAAGAAATATTTAAAACTGTTGAACCTGCAAGTTTAGCTGGTGCTAGGGAGAGTAATCTATTGATATCCTGGAGACTGAACTGTCTCGTTCTAGATCCAGTCCAGAGAAGGGATAATCCGAACTGAAGAGAAGATATCCCTCCCCAGGAGTTCATGAAATCCTTCTCTCCAGGTAGTTTAAGATCTGGAGTACAGGGGGAATGGTCGGAAACCACCATATCTATGTCTCCCTAAACCAAGAAGAAATGAGAAATTATTAAATATGAACAAGAACTATTTCTTTTCTTCTTACCTGAACTAAAGCTTCCCAGAGTTGATCTTGGTTACTCTTCTCGCGAATAGGAGGACAGCACTTAAACTAATCCAGCAATCAAATGATCAATTTATCTTTAACATTTTTCATTTATTGGTCCAATGACCAATTTATGGGTCAAGTCATCAGTTTATTGGTCAAATGATCAATTCATGAAATAAATGAAAAATTTATCTATCAAATGATTAATTTAGTTCAAAATAATCCATATATATTGATTACATATTAAATGGATGGTTTGTCTAATGATTAAATGATAGATTTATTTGCTGAATGATCGAATTTTAACTTGATAATTGATAATTTACGATTGATAATTGATTGATTGATTATCATTCCTAAGTTTCACTTTTAGGAATGGTTTCCGAGGATTCCGAGTTTAGGTTTAGATAATTGATTGATTTAATGATTCATATTTCTGAGTTTTAAGTTTATGTAATTGTTAGGAATGATTTAGGTTTATGTAATTGATTGATTAATTGATTGGTTGATTAATATTCCTGAGTTGCATTGTTAGGAATGGTTTCTGAGTTTAGGTTTAGATAATGATGGCAGGTCTCAACAGTGAGAGGAATTCCTTCTTTACGAGCTTTTCTATGATACAAGAAAACATTTTCTAGGATACAAGAAAACGTTTTCTAGGATACAAGAAAACATTTTCTAGGATACAATAAAACATTTTCTAGGATACAAGAAAACATTTTTTAGGATACAAGAAAACATTTTCTAGGATACAAGAAAGCATTTTTTTTAAATTAAGTAATTATTGTTTTATAAAATACTAGCTGCTAAACCCGACGTTGCCCAGGTTTATTTTTTTAATCTAATTTACTCCCGCCATTTACTCGTGCTTGGTACAGTGGTAGGCGATTATATCAATACAATGAAACTGACTTTATTTCAATTTTGATTTATATGAAGCTTTTAAACAACATGGATACACAAAAAAATGGAAATCAAGAGAAGAAGCTGTCAATTAAAAAAGCTTCTCTTTGATTACTTGTTAACTCGTAATTCGAAAAAAGCTTGTTAACAATCAAAACTTAAATAAAAAGTCGTCTTCATTATATTGATATAATCGCCTACCACTATATAGTCATGATTGTAGAAAAAAAGTGCCCGGTGTTGCCCGTGGAATTTCAAACATTTCAATTTTTTAAGCCTATGCCATTCCTTGGGTACTTATTGTTTCTTCCCTAAAAAATGTCAGCCAGTTCTGTCCAGTCCTTTGGCCCGCTATAGCGAACATATAAATGTATATATGTATATATAGATATATACATATATATATAGATAACAAAAAATACAACAAAAAACATTTGCTCCGACATACTTTAAAAGCTACAGTAAAACTTTGGAATGGTAAGACGACATTAAAGCGATCTTAAACATACTTGTTCTTGTTATAAAGAAAAAAATGACTAGTAAATTAAAAATCAAATGATACAGTGAGGTTGATAAAACTGCACAACTGCTGTTTATCTTGTTCATTGAACTATAAAAAATCATAACTTAGGTATAACAGTTGCCTTTCTGCTCGGAAGAGGGTGATTTTTAATCAGAGTCCGAATTTCATGAATTTGAGCCGCGTCTCAAATCCGCCAAAAACTGGTTTAAAATTGAGCGCCGACTTAAATCTTGAACTATTGAATAAAATTTTAAGTTGAACCTTCCAAAATTGAGCCGCGTCGCAATTTAAGCCGCAGCTCAAATTCGGCCTCAGGTCACTTAAATCTCAAACAAACTGATTATTCACCTCAAACTTTTTTTTCTAATCCATACATCTTTACATTTTAAAACCGTAAACCTTTGAAATTTTATCAGGCAGAATTCAAATTGAAATCTTAAAGGCTTACATCATCAGATCGCAAAGATATAAGAATTAGAAAATTAAGGTTTGAAGAAAGTAATTAATAAGTTCTTTAGTTGTTACTCCTTGCATCCGACCTGATGGCGGGGAGAGCAGATGCTGCTGAGAGATGAACAATATGGCAAGGAACTCTGGTCTTCCTAAACATAATACTATGCATGGTGTGTCCCAAAAAATGGTGATCGTGAGGTTTGCAGTTTTTTGTATTTAAAAGTCGGAAATTTCGGCCCAACTTATGATTTTAATTCTGAAAGTTTTTTTCACTTTCATAAAGTGTTTTTCTTTAAATTCTTTAAAAACTACAGTTGTCATCAAAACAAAAAAGAAGACTTTTCTACCAACATTTCTAACAGCAGAGACACAAAAACATATAAACATCTTCTCTTTGTTTACTTGTAAACTTGTAATTTGACAAATTCTTAAGGATCAAAACATTATTCATAAAAAGTCGTCTTCATTGTATTGATATTATCTCCGGCCACTTTAAAGTAACATATACTTTTTTAAGTAATCTATTATTACTTTGAAGTAAAATATGATATAATGCTTATAGTTTCCCCTCTTTAAATATGGAAAGCACATGCAGTGAGTTCTATAAAACTTTAAAATAGGGGAAGTACAATTAAGCAAAATTATGTATTTTTTAAGTTTAAAAAAAGGCAAATAGTTTTGCCAACATATTAAGTGAAATGGGTCTGTGTGCACTGCATTACTATGATTCATGTTCATTGGAACATTTAAAATTGTAACTTTAGTTTAACAGTCGTCTTTCTATTCCTAAGTTTTCTGGGTTTCACTGAATAATAATCTGTGTTCTACCAATAAAACTTAGCGTTTTTAATCTCCATTTCTCATTCCATGGATCCTTGTTCTTTTTGCTGAGTTATTTCTTGATATTTGTTGGCAGAAACATGAGTTGTTACCTAGCTAGTTCAATGATTAGATTGATTGCTTTAAGCTCCATCTCTTCTGGTCTTGAAAGCAGGAAAGTCGAGTAATTGTTCGGATCTCCAGTTTGTTCCTCAGAACCCGTCTTAAATACAATTCTTTATTTTATTTTAATCTTGTTTCAACAAGTTTTAATCCTTTTTGTTTCCAAGTCTTCTAACCTACCCAATCCCTTGAATTACTCAATCCTTTGAACAACCCAATCCCTTGAACTACTTAATCCTTTGAACTACCCAATCCTTTGAACTACCCAATCCTTTGAACAACTTAATCCCTAGGACTACTCAATCCATTGAACTAACCAATCCCTTGAACTACCCATTCCCTTGAACTACTCAATTCCTTGAACAACCCAATCCCTTGAATTACATAATCCCTTGAATACTCAATCCCTTGAACTACTCAATCTCTTAAACTAACCAATCCCTTGAACTAGGCAATATCTTGACCTACCAAATCCCTAGAACTATCCAATCACATGACCTAACCATTATTTGAAATACTTAATTTCTTGACCCCTCCCTAACCTACCAAATACCCAGATCTCTGTGGTTAACCGTGTATTCTAATTCTACCCTACCCTGAGTGTCTAAGTGGTCCTAGTACCTCTGACTCTGAATGAAAGAGAAGTGAAGCTCCTGTTCCCTTGAGCTGAGCAAGGGCTAGGAGAAGATCCTCCTCCGTTACAGCAGGGAATTCATCCACACCAGAGTGTATCAGGAAACACTGAGTATAGTCAAATAGTCAAACCATTAATCAGACAATACTCGTTAAAAAGATTTTCGGAAAATCCGAATTCCGGACGTGACACACATTGGAGTTGACAATTTTCGGAAAATATTTAAATAACATTCACTTTATAAAGTGTGAGGTGAGGCCTTTGAAGACATTGAAGACTACTTTTAAGATGGTCGAGCGCTGCGGCTACGATAGACCAAGGAGCCTAACGCTACTGTAAGGAGGATAAGTGTTTCGATCTATGAAACCTACGGTAATTGTCTTTCCGGGTTTTTTTTCCTATCTCCTTATCCATGTTCTCAAATATCAAATGTAATTTTCAACCAAATATTCTGGTTTGAATGGTCATGGTATTTCCTTGAAGCCTGGAACTCCAACATGAACCATCTCCTTGAGGTTCCCTGAGTTACCAGGAATAACTCCTCCCCAGAATCCAACATCAACCCAACACTGTCCTGCTGCAGCAGACACCTAGAGAACTTAGATCTCAAGAATTCATTTAATGATTTCAAAATTGCGCATACTTTAGTTTTGAGGTTGTTGATGGTTGTTGTCGGTGGAATACTGTTGAGAGGCATATCTACCAGGGTTGTTACTCCACCAGCAGCTGCAGCACGGGTTGCTGTTGTAAACCCTTCCCAATCCGTCCGTCCTAAAATCCGATTGACAAAAATAAGACTTTTTTTTGTTTAACAGTTTTTAAATCGTGAAACCGAAGGGGAATAGGGACTGATCGGGATCAGAGAAAAATTATAAATTAGTATTTTAAATCCAACCTGGTTCGTTGATATGAACATGGCTGTCCACCACTCCAGGCATGAGAACCTTACTCCCAGTATCCACCACCTTCCAGTCCTTCTCCAGGGGGTGATCAATATCATGTACTCCAACAACCTTCCCACCTTGAACCAGGACTACTGCAGGTTTCAGTCCTACACCATCCACTAGAACCTTCTCTCCTCTGTATACTTTCATTTTATCTAGATATATATCATTATTCATTCATAATTATTTTGAATCATTTCCTAATTATTGACTAACATAATTCCTTCAATTTATATTTTTAAGTTTGAACATCGAGTTAAGTCGATTTAGCTAGAGCTATTCCAACTAGAAGTTTTAACCTCTGCCTGATCGGATGAACTAAAGTATTTGCTATAATATGTATTTTATTTCATATTTGTAAACCCTGTGCAATTTCAAAAAGTTGTCCTTTCTGTGGAATTGTTTTCATATTAACACATTGTTAGCTTTTTCAATTCTCGTGACGCCAAATTTAGATCAATTATTTCAGGGATTTATTGAAACATATCTTCTCTCTCCTTATCCGTTCTTACATCTGCAGTATAATCGGTTATCCCTGGAGCAGAGCTGGATCAGCAAATCTTAATTCTTTATATCATGCAATATACTCATTCATCAAGAGAACTTCGTAGTTTATAAAGCTATTTCATATTAGAGATAGATAAAAGTTCTTACATTACGCTGGTTCTTCAAAAAAATCGAAATACAATTCAATTTAAAAAGGTTGGAATCTTTCACAGTATTTGTGTGGTGTCTTTTAAAAGACCAAAAAATTTAAAAGTTGAGGAAAAATTGAGCGCAACTATATAGTGATGTGCAATAAGTTGGTTTGTTTTTAAGGGGGTTTTAAGGGTTTTAAAGTTCCCTGAGAAGTTTCACAAATTTCAAAATTGTTTATTCTAAACATTTGGTTTTCTTACACCTTACACTGAGCCTAAGAGAAAACATATTGAAAAAAGACGGGTATTTTATTTGTAATAAGAACTATTCAGAATAGGTTATTTAATACGCGATAATTGTACATCAGAAAAATATTTCTTATATAAATGAAGTACCGTCTTCAAAGCATGTATAATCATATGGTAGGGCGGGCAGTGTTAGTTATAGTTATTTCATACTCCATGGTTTTTTTTCTTTGGATATAAACATTGCAAACTTCAACATATAATACAGATTTGAAAGGTTGGAAGTTTTATTGAATATCTTAAACTGAACCAAAATGCATATACTGTGGCCTGCACCTGGATAACTGAACCTAAACCTGTAGCATCCACATCTAGGAGCAACTTAACGAAACCTGAAATTAAAAAGAAACTCGCAACGCATCTGATTCAAAACCAGTATACACAACAATCATCAAACATAATGATACACCGAATTAATTCTCTAAGAACGGAAAATGGATATGTTAATATTTAATAAGCAATTTTTTTGCGTACATGGTTTAAGCAAGATCAGTTTCAGGATTTAAGTCATAGTAGGGGGAGGGGGGGGAACAAATATTTGCGCGAATAACGGAAATTTTTTTACTTCCCCNTTGAGACATCCCTCCCCCCTCATGTTTTGCAAAGGAAGTGCATGATTTACAACCAAATACAGGCAGAATCCATTTCATCCTTTTTTCTCTTTGTATGTTTGGACATAAACCTGAGAGGTCCCCTTTCCATTTTGATCCTTTAAAGAAACTATTAAATAATTATAGAGAGATATTGATTTTTAGAACCAGAAGATATCCACTCTCCGTGGAACTAAATTTGCTTTAAAAGGGTCACAAAGAGTCCTGAGGCCTAATTTAAAAAATTTAAACCGCGTCGTTGAATCGCCAAAAAACCGGTTCCAATTGAGCGCCGCGCCGGCTCAAATCTCTAAACATTGAATACAATTTCAAGTGGAAACACCCATGTTTGAGCCGCGGCTAAAATTCTTTAAATTCTGTCGCTGAGCATATTAACTTTTATCATTTAAGCGGAATGTTTCTGGTTAAAATAAAGATGTGTTTATTTTTAATTTGTTCAGAGAGAAAGGGGCGACCGTTAAACTAAATAAAAGTAACAAAATTGCAGAAATCGGAGGAGGGGGAGGGTAGGTAGTTTTGAGTAATGGTCTGCTGCATCCCGCTTAAATGCTTAAATGCATGGTTGGATTTTATATTTTGTTAGATAATCAAGGACCTGCTCTAATTTACAACAATATTACAGAGCGTCCCATATCATATTAGATTATCTCCAAGCTTTAAGGCCAAAATACACACATAATACTCGAAAAACCTAGTATTTTCTGCAAGAAAACTTTTATAAAAAACCTTCAACGTTTTTTAAAAATGATTTATTGTTTTAAAATTTTCTGATTAGTCCCTAAAATCGCAATTTTGAGCTATACTCGATCTAATATGATGTGGGTCACCCTGTACAAAAATTACGCAAGTTAGAAGTGTTCAAACGTCGTCTTCTTTATAACTTTCGTCAAGTGAGAAGTGGCAGGGGTGTAAACAGAATTAATCTGAGGGGACACGGTGCAAAAATTTCGCGAGACCAAAAAAAATACATCGTAAACCAAACTCTGCACGCTTTCACGCAAAAGTCTTTTTAAATTTTTCTAATCGTCTTTTAAACTGTATAGGGCTACAAAATAGTATATAAAGTGAGTTTGTAAGTTAAAGTCAAAGAACAAGGCAGTACGACATCTCAAAGTCGACACTGTGTTGAAGATTAATGCATGATTTTTTAGCTTTCTGGATCCTTATGCAGTGTAACACATATATAGAGTGTCCCAAAAAACATTCAGTGACGATTTTGATATCGTCTTTGTAATTGATTTATTGATTTAGTATGGTGATGCATATATACTAGGAAATATGTAATAAGTAGATATGTCGTCTGCTAGAGTAAATCATGTGTTTGTTTATGGGTTGATTGCAGGGAAATTATGGAGTACAATGCTAATTCTTAACAAAGACGATTTCGAAATTACACCCTGCTCAACATTTCACATATACATATAAAGAGCTAGATCTGTCCTCAAGCACCCTGAACTAACGAGAGAGAGATGCATTCGGTTTCTTTCATTTGAAATCAAATTCAACAGTCTTAAGACTTACAGATTTGTTTATATAATACTTTTCCATTCAAAATGGATATGCCAACAAAAAAGTATTTACATAAAAGGCTATAAAATTATGTTAAAGGGGTCAAATTGTGATCGAAAGTCACAGTTTTCTGAAATATTGACAGAACCGTTAAATCCACGTGGAAGGCTTGTAAGCGTGAAAATATCTGCACTTGAGATTTTTTGTATTGAGTCCAGACTCCAGGCACGATACTGTTTTCCCAAAAATAATAAAAAACCGTGAATTTTTTAAAAGCTTTAAGAATACATATCCTCGTGTAATGATATAATTCTCGATGTATGTCCTTAATTGTTTCTTTTACACATTCGTCTAATCAAAATAAAATAGTAAATGCACCATTTCTAAAAACTCTGCTCATCTTCTGTTCTTGTAAACTCTATCCAACTCTTCCATACCACATGCTTGGTTTCGGCAGGAGGGGTAGAGTAATAATTATAAAAAAAAAATATAAATATAAATAAAATATTAATAAAGAAAAATCATAATTTTACATTGGAAGGTTTTTTTCAAATTTCTATCCGTTGTTAAAAGATAAATCCGAACCAGATCTAAAAAATGTTCCTACAGTGGTCGGCAATTATATCAATACAATGAAGACGATTGTCTATTAATAATGTTTTGATCCCTAATAATGGTATTTTTTAAATTTCAAGTTTACACGTAAACAAAGATAAGCTATTAATCCTAAAGTAATCTTAAAGTCTTTGTTTAAATGTTTAAGTGCATTTCTCCTTTTCGAAACCTTGGTAGAAATCAAAATTGAAATAAAGGTCGTCTTTATTGTATTGAGATAAAAGACGAAGACGTACTTTGCTGCAGTCGAGGAAGTGCCAAAGTGGCAGCATGATCCAACTGAAAAACCAGATTTTCATAGACATTTAAACCATGGTTTTCTTAAACAATCTTTTTTTTTTAAATATAGAAAAATTTCAATTAATTTATAATAATAGTAATAATATGAAATCCTCACCGACACTATTAAAGAGACCGTAGACGTAATTTCAAGTGACCCTCAAAAGTATGGATTAAATATCCTTGTTTATGTGTTTGAAAACTGTTTATTTGCATTTGATGTTTCTCTAACAAAGTGATTTTGAATATATACACATTTGAGACATTAACTTCCACATTTGAGACATTAACTTCCACATTTGAGACATTANATAAAGGTACAGATCCAGCAGACCACTTCTAATTCTAGAAATAGGGAATAAAGGCATATTTGGTTTTGAGAATGTTACTAGCATGTTCACATAATAATTGCCGCGTAGGTTGCAGACTTTTTTTATCATGTTTATTCCACCACTCTGTTTAAAGCGGAGAATAGAGGTTGCTTATTATTAAATGACTTTATTCGAAAAGTTCTAAATTTTTATTGTAGTTTATTCTTATGTACGAATAAACATAGATAATCTAGAAGTTAGTTTGAAATCAGCTGAGCTTGATTGATAAGAAGACGACCTGTTGGAGTCTTTTCCACTCCACTCTCTTTACTATAAATAATCTGACCAGCCAGAACGGTTTGGTAAACTACTCCGAGTAGGTTTAAATCCAAGTATGGAGTAATCTTGTTCTTGTGAAGAATACTCTCCAACTTGACTGAAAATGTTTCCGTTGGATCCCAGATTACAAAATCAGCATCAAACCCTACAGCTATCCGTCCCTTCCTTCCTGCCAAACCTGTAACAATTTAAAATTTATAAATACACTAGATTGGGAACCAAGCTTTGTCTGGAAACTACAGGGAGAAGAGGAATAATAAGACGACTTTTGGACTCAAGTTAGGGCATAATAGTTCAATGAACATGAAACATAGCGTGTTTTAAACAGTTTATTCCTGGTGTTAGTAACCTATTCAACCCTGGTGTTAGGAACCTATTCAACTCTGCTTGTTGGGAACCTATTCAACCCTGGTGTTAGTAACCTATCTAGCCCTGGTGTTAAGAACCTATTCAACCCTGGTGTTAGGAACCTATTCAACCCTGGTGTTAAGAACCTATTCAACCCTGGTGTTAGGAACCTATTCAACCCTGGTGTTAGGAACC